GAGATGAATACATTTTTAAACAAAATAGAAAATAATATTAGCAAAATTATAGAAAATAAAATAAAGGGACTAACCAAAGAAATCACTGATCTAAAAGAATCTGTTCTTTTCATTAATAACCAATACGAAGATTTAAAAAAGGATATACAAGTAAAACTTAAAGATGTAAAACAATTAAAAGAAGAAAATGATAGCTTTAAATCAACATTAAAAGACCTCAATAGTCGTTTAAGCATAATGGAGCAGCATTCAAGAATGAGGAACCTAGAGATACAATGTGTTCCGGAACATAGGGCCGAAAATATACCTAATATTATTACACAAATAGGGAAGATTACTGGCAGTAAAATATCCGACGCTGATATCCATAAATGTACAAGAATAGCCAAGATTAATCCAGAAAATGCACGACCGCGGTCTATTATTGTGAAGTTTGCTTGTCCACGGGTTCGTGATACATTCTTAGCCGGAGTAATAAATTTCAATAAAAGAAACACCGATGAAAAACTAAATACAAGCCATATCGGGATAGGTGGCGACAAAAAACCTATATTTGTAGTCGAACATTTGACCCCGGAGCTGAAGAAAATCCACGCACTTGCCAGAGCGACAGCAAAGAAATTAAAATACAAATTTGTCTGGATTAAAAATGGTCGTGTCTTGTTAAGAAAAAACCGATAATTCTGAACATATTGTCGTGCGTAACATCGAGCAGCTCGAAGAATTACAATAGTGAAGTGCTTATCTGTCTAGTCTCTTATCGAAATTCTGTAACATACGATACCTTAAATATATATTACCAAAACGTAAGGGGGATTCGTAGTAAAACGCGCGATGTAAAACTTAACATACTATGTAATGACTTCGACATCGTAATTTTTACAGAAACTTGGCTTAATGACGGCGTGTTCGATAGTGAGTTTATTGATGATCGCTATACGGTATACAGGAGAGATAGGGAGCAATTAGACCCAAAAAGAATCAAAAATGGGGGGGTTGTAATGATAGCCGTTAAAAATACCTTAAAATCAAGCCGTTGCCTGCATTGGGAGAGTAACCGCGAAGATCTATGGATTACGGTTAATATAATTATAGATGGTAAACCAAGTCATGTTGCAATCTGCGTAGTATACTTGGCACCTCCGATAAATAGCAATGTGCTAAGTGAATTTTTAGAAAATGCGTCCAAAGCTATTAATACAAATGAATACGTCATGCTAACGGGGGATTTCAATATTAGTAGTATTTCTTGGTCGAAAGTACCGGAATTAAATTGTCTACACCCCTTTAGTAGTTCTACTAACTTAGCGTCTACTTTTGTTGATTTTATCGAGGAACATAATTTAAAACAATTCAATTCAATAGTTAACGCAAATGGCAGGATGCTTGATTTGGTTCTTTCAAATCATACCCATGTGTCAGTTAGCCAAAACCTCAATCCAATAAGCATAATTGATAATCATCATCCGTCACTTAACCTAGAGCTCGATTTCTTGAAGATTAATACGATCAATGCACAGCTCAATGAAAGGTACAACTTCTTTAAAGCAGATTATGAGGCCATTAAGAACGAATTAGATGGTACAAAATGGTTAGAACTCTTACTAAATTGCGATTCAGTAAACTCAATGCTTAATGTATTTTATCATAAATTAAAATCAATAATCGAAAAAACATGTGCCAAAGACTAAGCCTAGAAGTACAAAGTTTCCCTTATGGTATAATAATAAATTAATTTCTATGTTAAAATTTAAAAATAAATATCGAGTAAAAAGTAGAATTTACAATAACCCTCTAGACATACTCAAATTTAAATCACTAAGGTTTAGTTGTAATAAATTCATTAAAACAGTTATAATAATTTTATTGAATGCGTTGAAAGTAACCTACAAAAAAATCCTAAATATTTTTGGACACACTTAAAAAACGTAAAAAAAAACCATCAAACACGTACCCAGCCAGAATGGTACTAAACAGTAAAGTTGCTACCGATGGCCCAGAAGTGTGCAATCTCTTTGCTGAATCCTTTGCTTCCGTTTACGAGACTAGAGACCTACCCTGCACAAACATTCCCCTACAAACAGTTACTGAAAACAATCTTTGTTTAATAAACATCAATGTTAAGGAAGTAATAAAAAAAATAAAAGACTTGACGCAAAGAAAGGTGCTGGACCCGACGATCTTCCTCCTTCGTTTATTAAGAAGTGTGCTAAAGCGTTGTCTTTGCCTATCTGTATTATCTTTAATAGATCCCTCAGTACCGGAGTCTTCCCAGATATGTGGAAACTTGCAAGAATAGTGCCTGTGTACAAAAAAGGGAATCGAGATAATATTGCCAACTACAGACCCATATCAATATTATCAGTTGTCTCTAAGATCTTCGAGTCCTTGATCTCGCCTATATTGTCACGCCACGTCCGCCACGCTATCTCAGACAACCAACACGGATTTATGACATCTCGATCTACTGTCACAAACCTTTCATGTTTTATGAATTATATAACACCCTACGTCGACTCACGTCAACAAGTAGATGCTATCTATACTGATTTCTCCAAAGCCTTCGACAGGGTTAATCACAAGTTGTTGATAGCGAAACTATCATCGTTTGGAATCGGAGGACCATTACTTTCGTGGTTTGCTTCATATTTAAAGAACAGATTTTCATACGTAGTGATCAGAGGCCACTTTTCTCAAAAATATGAGTGCACTTCGGGAGTACCACAGGGATCCATATTAGGACCCCTATTATTTAATATTTTCGTAAATGATGTAACTAATTGTGTACATAATTCAAAATGTTTCATCTTTGCGGACGATCTGAAACTCGCAAAAGCAATTCTTAACGATCATGATGCACAATCTCTACAAGAAGATGTCGATAGAATTGCTCGTTGGAGCAAGTTAAATGGCATGGATCTCAACGCTTCTAAATGTTCTTATATCAACTTTACGCGTAAGCATACTGCATTAGAAACCCAATACACGTTGAACAATAACCCACTTCAGAAGCTTGAATCCATTCGAGACTTAGGAATAACAATTGATGCTAAATTAAGATTTAATATTCATATTGAAAATATTTGTAGATCGGCACGCAAAATGCTGGGGTTTTTATACCGGAACTCAAAATGTTTTAAAAAAATCATAACAAAAAAACTTCTTTACACTTCCTTAGTTAGAAGTAAACTAGAGTACGGGACCATCATATGGAGCCCTAATTATCAAATACACAAAGATCGTATAGAAAGCATACAAAGACGATTCACTCAATATTGTTCTAGTGGTAATCATATGGAATCCTATTCTACTCGTCTCCTAAAACTAAAATTAAGCTCACTATCGGACAGACGTAAACTACATGATTTAGTTTTTTTGTTCAAGCTTACAAATGGAACCATAGATTCTGCAGAATTACTATCACAAATATTGTTTAAAGTTCCCTGCCGTGTACCGCGTTTTACGATTCCCTTACTCAATCACAAATTGTATAAAACTAATCTTGGTCATCACTCTCTTATACCGAGAATAAGCAGATTGTATAACGAATGTGTGCTTAAAGATAAGACTATTGACTTATTTAGCGATAGTATAAAAACTTTTAGAGCCAAAATTTTCAAACTATTTAATAATTCAAAGTAAAAATTCTACCATAATTTTATATAAGCTCGATATAAATTGTTATTATTTTTATAAATTTTTAATTTTCTTATTTTTCTTATTGTCTTATTGTTGTTTTTTTTGTTGTTTCTTATTAGTGTTTTACTCATACTTGTAATTATTATTGAGTTATCGTACACTTATCGTCTTTTTAAACACGCTGTAACTACCTTTAAATGGAAACATGTAAATCGTAGTTCCTAAGTCTATTGTCAGTTTTTATAACAAAACAACATGTTATTCCGTTGGTGGTTCTATCAATAAATAAATAAATAAATAAATAAATAAGGTTACAAAACACAGTATATACACAAAATTCGTACAAGTGAGTTATTGGGTACAAACGAATAGCTACAATTTTTTTACAGTTCTTTATGAATGAGTTGAGCGATACATAATAAATTATTATAATTCGCTCAAAGGTTAAGCATAACTATTCAGCGAGGAAATGCAGCTAGCGTTCTTGGCACCATGCCTCGTGGACTAGGTATATTAGACAATATGTAATTTTAGATAGATTTAATATAAATATTAGATCAATAAAGATTGTAAACATTTAATAAATTTAATTGAAATAATTCGGTTAAATGCACCAAGTACTTTATAAGTTAAAGAAACGAAATATAACTTTGAAGATACAAAGTCAAAGTCGAAGGCCAGAATTCCTTTCATACGATTTCAAAAATGGAGAAGATTCTTTGTATGCTTGTTACCTCAGAGTGAGATACAATGGCACAGTCATTTATGAACCGATTTTAAAAATTATTTTTGCTTTGAGTTCGGTTTAGCCCCATATAAATTTCATTGGTATTAGACCTTATGATCCAGAAATAAATCAGTGAACTCCTCAATATCAAATAGAAAATGCAAAGTGAGTGAGATATTTGAAGTCAACTTGTTTTTTATTCGTAAAAGTATTTTTGTAAATTGTGATTTGTATGGCAGTACCTGTCACCAGAATCCGAAAAGATATGTAAACAACTCGACTACTCAGATATTTAACGCTCGACCTAGGTTTGTGTGTTAACAACCTCAACGATGCGATCATTAAAACACTAAATGACTAACTGTGGTAAGGCCACTAATCTTATCTGGTGCACGAATGGGCAGGCTCGTTCGGGTAAGTACCTCGACCTCACAGAAGACCAGCGTGAAGTGAAGGTGTTATAGTTTAGCTTTTCATAGATTGGGGTAGCCGGTGCCCACTTTTTTAAAAGGTGGCAACGCATCTACAACCCTACCGGTGTTGCAGTGTAATGTCCAAAGGTGGCGTTTATCGCTTAACATCAGGTGAACCACCTGATTCGCTTGTCATCTTTTCACATAAAAACATTAATTACCTTTGATACTATCAAAGCTTTTCCAGCTAGCACGAACAGCCCGGCTATGGCGAGTGGTATCATCGCAGCCAGTTTCATCGCGCCTCCCACCATCATCATCCCCATCATCTTCTTCATCTTGCCTCGCCCTGAAAAAGTGAACAGCGCTCACATTATGTCTTATGCATTTCAATGCCGTGAAAATTTGTTTCAATCAAATAAAAAATTGCGCGTGTAAAGAGCGACCGATAATAAACTCCTAGTATTTCAAATCTCTACTATTTGTAGATTAATAATAAAGGATAGTCATCAGAAAATCAAAATAAAATTATGATCTCAAAATATTTCTTAGTATTCAGTATCACGGTATATTAGTACAAAAATAGATGTTGTACCTCTATTGAAAATTACTCCAGTCGATATGTCGGGTTACTGTTGTACATTTTGTAGGTCGATAGACGATTAAGACATTGAACCGTTTGCCTGTCCCTTCCTTATAACGTCTTCACAGCTTAAGTTTCTTTTAACGGTTGTGTAAATTCCAAATCATGTGAATTAACGGAAGTATAACAAAGTAGGAATTGAATGAATTGATGCGTGATACATGAACGAGATTTGTGAACGCTTTCAAACGTAACATTTTAATAGCACAAGCGTAATAAGCGATTAAGAAAGTATAACGTCGATTCGTTTACAGTAATTCCTTTAACTGTCATGATTAAAACGAACGTTGGATGAAATTTTTCTTCAGTTTTACTTTCATTGAGTAAAATTCCTAACAATTTTTATTTTTATTTTGATATGTTTGTTGCTACTAGACGTGTGTACTCGTACAGTTAATTCTAAAATAAAAAAATACTTGTTTTTGATGGATTTTGTGAATACTGACCGATCTGAACTATTCGCTGTGATTTCGTGTAAAATGTGACTGATCAAAAACAAAAACAGAATTGCACTCAACGGAGTATCAAATTATTACAAGAAAAGAGTTCACGGGTAAAACTTTGCCATATTACAAATAATTAATAGGGTAATGATTGTATGAGAAATGTCTATGTCATCTAGCAGTGCTTCTTGCACTTCAGGCGTGTATTTCCAAGGCACATCGTCACGCTCTCCTTGACATTCCCATTATAATCAACGTCGAGTAAAAGTGAATTCAACAAATGGATCGTCCACGAAGAGCATCCGTTAGAAACAGCATTGTCATTAAATTTTATGGGATTTACAGTAGCCGTCGTGACTTTGCTACAATGCTTAAATCGATGAGAAAATTCACCATTAGAAATAAACCAGTTCACCCATTATTGGTGGAATAAACGTCGAAAACAATGTCTCAGATATTGTCTCCGGTGCTTAAATTTAATGGTTTTCCGCCGAGATTCCCATTTTAATAGGTTCTTGTGGTTTTGCTACCTGAACTTAAGTTAGGTGATTAAATAAAATGGCATAGAGCCATTTCATATCAAATAGGTTCTTGTTCACTTTTTCATCGAACTTTTGTATAAAAGGATGTATATATATTTTAGTAAGAATGGTTATGGCATCCATTAAATACGTTGATGGATGTTTTATAAAATTAGAAAAAAGCTCCACAGATTTTAAAATACAAAACTTTTCATAACGGAATAATAACATAAAAAATATCAATTAGGCATAGACATAAAATGGTTAAGATAATTGTACATGTTCGGAGGAACTGTACTTAATTTTCTACCATTAATAAGCAGACTGATCATGTAATTAAAAAATTATGGTTCGGTTATGGTGACTGAGACGTCCATGTGTTAATTTAAAGATTAGTTTTATTACTCTTTTGAAGTTTGTAAACATGTTATCGCTGTAAGCCGCATTAATGTTTGTAATAAAGAGATTTATTGGAAATATACCAATAAATATTTCTTGTCACTACAAACAAAGTTCAGAGGGCGTTCAATGAAACAATTATGTTAGCTCCATCCGGTGTGATTAAGTTGAAATGTCATTGAAAACGTATAATTGAAAACGTACGTAACGTAAACATAAGTAAAACTATGAAGTTACATTTATAAGAAATGGGCCTTAAAAATATTGGTCACATTCAAACTGTGAAAAAATGAGTTCCTAAAAGTCAATAGTTAATAATCTCACGAAGCAAATAATTTCTCAAAAAAAAATGAAGAAGAAACATGTGTTACAATTATCTAAAGATTTACTAATATAACACGAATTTCAATAGAACGTTGCAAAAATGTTGACTTGCCTTCCTCAACACCTCTGTTTAACTCCTGACCGGACATCTTCGGTAAGGAAAATTGGACCATTCTGGAATTGGCAAAGGATGCAACTTTGTCCCATAGCATGGCGGTCAGTGTATCTTCCTTACTTCCCAACCCTCTTTGCAGATTGGCGTCTATTTGATTTTCACTAATAGGTGGCACTTCTGGTTCTGAGGCCTTAACAATGTCGACACCGTCGAACACCGGTATGGATTGCATTCTAGCCGCTCGATCGAAGAACAATATGGCCTTCTTCTTCAAGCAGGATATCAAACCATCCGCATTTTGGCAGTCCTCGTATATTTTCATTGCGTATTTCATACCCATATCGCCCTTTACTTGGCCTAGTAAGACTAGAGTGATTGTAAGGAGGAACACTTTTGTGAACATTTCTGATGATAGATGCACGCGGGTTGGGGTTATAAAAAAGACTGTAGGAGCACGTGAGCGCCTAGCGTATTTATAGGCTATGCAGAGACTATAAAGCATTGCGCCTCTTAGATCGGGGGTACAGTCTCTAGGGTGAGTACATACTGCAACGGTCGAGAGGTTCTCGATAATTCTAACTCCAGAGTATTGTATGGCGCGACGTGACTTACTACCAGTGTGTAAGAAACCTTTTCTTGGCAGACTTGTGTGAGTGCGTGTAAATGGTTTTTGTTTTGGGAAGATGGTTTTTGTTGTTGTGATAGTAGTTATCAGATTGACAATTTACAAAAGAGAAGTTATTTAATTAAAGTCATTTCAGTTGACATTTTAAAAACTTTGCTTGATGATAAGTAGCACTTCCAGTTTTTGTTAAAACATATTTCATAAAGCATGCAGGGCTATTTATGTTTTTTACTATTTATAGTTTTATCTGTTTTAATATAATGAAAGATTTCCTAGACATTAATAAAATTCAAATAGAAGTTACAATTAAATCAATTTAATATTAAATACTATTTTATTTCTTATTCAGTTAATAGCATAAATTTTAATTATTGCAATAGAAAATTCTCCGACCATGGCATTAGGTTAATCTATGTAGCGGAAGGTACTCGAAAGGTATTTTCACTTCATACCTTTACTATCTTTTGAAAGTGTCTTTCTGAGAAACAAAATGGAATTATCCGGTAAATAATAGAGTAAATAGTAATCACCATGTTGTTAGATTAATGCCTCATTTAAATTAGTTACACAATAACGTCTTGTATTTATTGTTAATTTAACAACACTAGATAGTTGTAATCTTTCACATATAAGTTAATTGAAACGAAAGGAATTATTTATGGTATGATTATGATCCGATTGGCATAGTGGATAGCAAATAGATCTCTTGCTCCAAATGGTGTGGATTCAATCCTCACTACTGGAAAAACATTTTGTGATGAACATAGTGAATTTGAATTGTATTGATGTTGTAAAATGGTTAGTAGTAATGTTTTTTGACAATCACTTAGTAAGTGTAATGCTTCCATATTGTATAAAGATATTTGAATCTATTTATTTATAAAAGAAAAGCATATAACTGATAAAAACTACTTCAGTATTTAATTCTTAGGTACTACAATCATATTAAAAAAATTACTTTGTATCAGACTTTTTGCTCAGTTGGGATTGATATCGTGTTAAATAACATCATGTTTTATTATTTTGTACTAACATATTGAAAAGTTGGTGTTTTATTTAATTTCAAACGTTTGATAAGGACAAAATCAACAGTCGTATCCATATTTATCAGCTCTACGTTGCCAGTAATGCTTTCCATGTTTACAATACGGAATTTAACGCGTGAACTAATTAACTGTTGGCCAGCTCTTTCGTGTAGTATAAGTTTTGTGAAACACGATTATTAATCGGTACCAAGCTTATATTTCAATTTTATGAAATTATTTGTTACATTTGCGTTTAACATGAACACGTTAATTTATTTATATACATACCAACAGTATATAAATTAAACAAGTAAGAGTTATAGACATTATATGATTTTTTATGTACATCAATGACAGGTGGAGTGTGCGTTTTTAAGTTCGCGGAAACCCCCCGAGGGTTGGACAGCAGACATCAGGCCCATTAAGTACTTAACGTATTGAATGACTCAAAATTTTGGAAAATATTAAGTTTTGTCACAATTGTAACAGTTCAAACCCATGGGTTGTGGCTAGCCCACGTGTTCTGCGTTCGATGTACCTTTAATAGTCAGAAACTGCATACATCAGTTAATGAAAGAAATGTATCATTAATTTTCAAACTATTGACGGCCAAGCAACCCATTTCAGAAGAAAGTTTAGAAAATCGAGTATCACGCTGTCATCAGGTTTCTACCTAGCAAATATATTATGTTCAAATCTAACTGCAAGAGAGGTCACCTATTTACGGGGACCCTGGAAAACCATGGTATACAAATGGCACAAAATTTTTAAGCAAGACACTTGAAGACTACGCACGGCCAGGATGGTCTACTGAGGGAACCACTCCGGAGCTGGCTGGAAAAGTAAAATAAATTGTAATAGAAGATGCTCGAGTAAAGACGAAATAGCTTGGATAAAAGGTTGGTATCCAATACAACGATTTTTAAAATTATGCACGAATGTCTTTTTTTGGTATCGGGGGGGAAACAATTCCCTGTCACCTTACATGAGAGGGTTATGTGGGATTCTTACCCACTAAAACCCCTTCGGTGGACACCTCCTGTACGTTCGGACACCGGGATCTCACACTGAACGCACTGGTGTCCCTCAGTACTGCGCGTGAGCACGCCCTGATTCCCTCACCATTTTGCAGCAGCTCGAGACAACTTCGAGCTGCTGCCAATCCGTGTCCCCTTTTAGTCGCCTTTTACGACAGGCAGGGAATACCTTAGTCCCATTCTCTAAGACGCCGCAAAAACAACAACACGTCGAATGTTCTGAAGCATTTTTAGAATACGTGTTGAAGACAAAGATGATGTACTGAAACGAATTGTTACTGGAGATGAAACTTTGATTCATCATTATGATGATTCATAATTCAGTGGCATAAAAAGGGTACATCTAATCCGAAGACATTTAACCCTAGATTACGAACATTCTTCGATTTGAAGACGCGGATTTAAAAAAAATGTTTTAATTTCTACGCGCGTGACGCATATCTTTTATATTGTGGCTAATGTCAGATGACCCATTGTCCCAATCATGAAGGGTACTGCTTAGAGTGTAGTGGACCTGTGTGCACTATTACAGAAACAATGGCTCGTCGAGTCGACAAAGGTTAGTAATAACGTTATATTTTTTACTATATGGTTTGTGTATTTTTGCATTAGACTGAGGAGTTAGACTAGCCTAACTGTATCATTTGTCTAGGGTAGACATAGTGGTCAACAACTTCCGTAGTGTCGTTCCCTCGTTAAAGTAAGCTCGGTAAACCTTAATTCGGTACTCGAACAATTCGCTTTACAGAATAAATATGCTTTTTATGGTTAAAGGCATTGGAGCTCACTCTGTTAGAAAGCTTCTACAGCATGAAGAGGCTTTAGATTCACATGGAGATGTAACATCGGCTTACACAAGACCAACATGAAATGAAGGTACCATAGCAGGTAGCCATCGTACATCGAGTACGAATATCACAAATGTGATTAAAGGTCGCGACTTTAAGTTACCACTTACCAGAATAACCTGGAATCTCCATTTACAATTGAATCACTGCCAGTGTATTCCTCCACTGCACAGACAGTGGTAGGTCTGAAAAAAAATCAATTATAAAAGAGGAATGTTTCAATCTTCTTACTTTGAGTTTGTTGTGAGTTTTTTTCTAACCGTAAGTTTTGTCATACTCTACTGTTTTCTTAACGATCTTTACTTAAATGTAAAAAATTAAATTAAATTATGTCAAATATTTCGAGCCTCAAAGAAATGTTCAATATCATATTATATATAATAGTAACCAACAACGCAAGGAAATCGGTAAATTACACTGAAGAAAGATTATTATTAAAAGCTTTTTTAAGCTGAGACTTAAGACAATAAACGAGACATTTCTAGGAGAATTAATTAAAAATCTGTTAATAAAGCTTATTTTATTTTATGCGAAAAGTTGTCAAACGAGCAGACGGTTCACCTGATGTTAAGTGAATACCGCCGCCCATGGACATCTGCTACACCCGAGGGTTACAGATGCGTTGACAACCTTTTGAAATTGGGCTCCGGCTACCTCATTCACCAGACGAAACGCGAAAGTATTTGTCATACTTCCACTTTACGCTGGTCTTCTGTGAGGTCGTGGTACTTACCCGGACGGGCCTGCCCATTCGTGCAACAGCCGAGGCTGCAGCGTGGTCCTACCACCGTAAAGCTTAAGCTTGTTGTTTAATTATTTCCGAATTATTTCGTCTGGAAAAAGACAAAAAGATGTATGCAGAGATGACTGCCAATGTTGTAGATATTAGTTGAACAAGAAAGCTGGTAGTATTAGTAAAATAAACATTTTCTTAGACGGATACTAACTGTGTTATTCATAATAAAACGCTTAACGAAGGTATAAACCTATATAAGTTAAAACGTCTTTTAAGCGTATCAAACGATCGATAATTTTTTTTATTCATAATAGTATGATAAACTTCCGAAAACTAAAATGTCCTTATTGAACATAATGTGGCAATTTCGTAGAAAAATTGTGAAATTTGAATGATACAAGAATGGTTTCATGAGTTTTTATCTATGGATAGCTACAAATTAAAAAAAAATATATCTTGTCGTGTATCAAACATATTGATCGTGATTCGTGTCAAGTTCAACTTTCTTGTTGTTATTTATTAGTAGTATTTAGCCTTAACAAAATAAATAAATTATTTTAATGATAAAATGAATACGAATGTTAAAAAGGCAGAGTAGTGAAATTGGCTAGAGGAAGATGAAGTTGGTGTTACAGTTTTATTATATTCGCAAGTATAGAACTTCGCACTGTAATTTTCATACATGCATTACCTACTAAAATTTAATGTTATTGCTTTCTAAGATTATCTTGAAAGATCATTTGATGAAGGAGCGGGTTCGTGTTATTTTACTTTTATTTTATTTTTATTATTATTATTTTTTTTAAACATTTTCCTTACTTTAGGATAACATTATCCTGTGTTGTAAGTTATCGAAAATCAATGAAAAAAACACCAACACGATCTTCAATGCACTAAGGTGGCGGCGTGGAATGATTTAAAAGAAGTCATTGCAAACGTCAGTAATCAGCTGACCAAAATCGGCCATGTTTTTCGCTAATCTATCGCTTATCGAAGGTCTAAAGTAGGGTCCTAGCTTGTTTAAATCAAAGACACTTTATCGGAGAGCTAATGAACGTTTTAGCGTTATAGAACGATTACGAATAAGACTTTTTACAATAAATTTTTAGCGAGCTTTTAAATCTCCGATAAC